GGTATTAGGCATCAAAGAAAAAAAAATCATATCATTGTGAATGATCCCCACCCCACCCCCCACTATCATGATCCCAATTCTACCTTAAAAATCCGGCTAGACCAGAGGATGTACACTGGTACAGATCAGAGCTGGAAACACAGGGAATCCAGGATAGATAAACCACTCAGGACTAATAATGAGAGTAGAAATACCAGGAGGGTAAGGGAAAGGAAGGGAGAGAAAGGGGGAACTGATCACAATGATCTACATACCATCTCCTCCCTGGGGGATGGACAACAGAAAAGTGGGTGAAGGGAGATGTTGGTCAGTGTAACACATGACAAAATAATAATTTATAATCGATCAAGGGTTTGGGTGGGAGAGAGTGGGGGAGGGGGGAAATGAGGAGCTGATACCAAGGGCTCAAGTAAAAAGAAAATGTTTTTTAAATGATGATGGCAACAAATGTACAAATGTGCTTGACACAATGGATGGATGGATGGATGGAAGTTGTAGGAGCCCCTAATAAAACGATTTAAAAAATAAATTAAATTAAAAAATCATCCCCTGAAAACTTAGCAAGTGTTTCATGTGGGGAAACCCTTTGTTGGCTACACTGTGAGAGGGGAACCCCTCTGCCCTGGAAAAGTGGGGGCTTGAAAAGTGGAGGGGAGTTCAGCCCCTAGCAAGCGGAGCTTCTGAAACATGAAAGGCCAGACTCGTAACTATGAAACCCTGGTGATCTCTTTCAAGTAGCGTAGCTAGTGCCATAGAGATCAGTTTCTCTGCTACTTCTACATCATTGTACTTTGTTAATAAATGGCCACTTTTTTGACTGCCTAAACTTTACCTTTTTAGATCCTTTTGTGAGTACCTCAGTTAATGGCCTAGTGTGTTTTTACTATTGGGTTTAGAAGCACCACTCTTAACCTCCCTTGGTTGGCTGGCTGGTTGGTTTGAAGTACTAGAAAGGTTTCTATTCACTGTGCATTACCATGGGCTACCTATCATATTAATCTGTAAAGATTTTTATTGGTTTTTGATCCTAAGTTATCTAAAATGTTCTCCTAAGATGTTCTTGAAATGCGTATAGGCAGTCCAGATGGTCATGTAATTATCTAATTTTTTAAATTATTAAAGATCTACTTAGAAAGGTTTAGAAAAGAAAGTGAAATATGAAACAAACTATGCATGCCTCTACTCTTCCTTAGTTTAAGGAGCCCTGGTGGCACTGTTAGGGAAGTGTCGGACTGTGAATCAAACCCACAAGAGAAAGATAAGGCTAGATGCTCCCCGAATGATGCACAACCTTACAAATCCTATGTGGCGGTTCCATAGATCATCCCCACTCCCATTCTCTGTCATTCAGCTTCTAGCCCTTCTTGGGTTTCACCTTTCCTGTTACTGTACATAATAGAGTTGATTCTGACTCATAGTGAGCCTAGGTAAGGTAGAGTTGCATTATAAAGTTGTAACTGATCATCAGGTTTTTTCTCACCGAGTGGCCTGTTGGCTCAAACTTCCAACCTTCGATTAGCAGCTGGGCACTTCACCATTGCACCCGAGCTCTCTCTGAATTACTACCTCTCCTCTGATAGAAGCACTTGTTTTCATTACTTATATTTTTAAATAGCAAGAGTAAATATTGAAAAACAGTACAGGAACTCCATTATCTCAGGGACTGGGGTCTTGCAGCCCAGGACTAGTCAAGCAGTGACTCATCGTAACCTAAAACTTAAAAAAAACTTCTTTAGAGAATTTATCAGTAGGAGAATTGTTCCTCCTTCAGAAAGATTGTCACCAAGAGAGGGAAAAAAGGAAGGGGTTAAAATTTCTTCAGACAGTTGACTCTTTGGGTTCCTTTAAATTCATAGTTGAATTGGTTTTGAGGGGTGTCAGGAATTATGGAGGTTTCCCCAAAAAAGGTTTACAAATTGATCATAGCCTTGGTAACACTAATAGAGGTAAGTGTAATCACTATTTGGGAAATCCTGATTGTGGCTGAAAGCAAGGGAGATGAAAGGAAAAGAGACAATTAACACCTTCTCCTTTTTTTGCTTATTGTGTTGAAGGTGGCATTGCTATATACAATTGATCTGAGAATGGCCTTTCACCAGGAAGAAATACAACCGATTTTAAACTAATCGATCATCATAAATGTAATTAGTAGTTATTACTAAAATGAAACTAGGGTTGCAAACAAGCACTATAGAAATACAGGTGCCGTCCCCATCCCCAGCCAGTCCTGGGGCTTTGGGGCTCCGCTCAAGGGGAGCCCCTCTGGGACATGGGGGTATAGTGAATGGTGTGACCCTTTGCTGGGCATGCCTACACACAGTAGGGTATGCTGGGCCCCTCTAGGGTTTCCCGTATGGACTCCAATAAATTTCTTCCCTTTTGCTTACAAAAAGAAAAAGAAACAAAAAAAAAAATGAAAAGCTGATACCAAGGGCTCAAGTAGAAGGAAAATGTTTTGAAAATGATGAGGGTGACGAGTGTGCAAATGTGCTTGACACAATGGATGGTTGTATGGATTGTGATAAGAGTTGTATGAGCCCCCAATAACATGATCTAATAAATAAATTTTTAAAAAGGAAAAAAGAAAAGAAATACAGGTGCATTTCATAAATCTACCCAGAAACCTGGGGCCCATCTTGATAAATAAATTCACAAGATATTTAAAGCAAAAACTGTTTGCTTAGTTTAATAGAATACAAATGTCTCAAATTTCAAAAAGTTCCTAAAAATATCATTAGAATAAAAATTCTAAAAAGTAATCAGCACTTGGACTTTGAGCATTTTAAGGAACTTAAATCCACACATCTATTGATGCAGTCACGCATATATATAATTTTTTAGAGGACTTCTATCAAAACTTGCCAAAATGCAGTCAGGCACACTGGGATTTGCCAAAAAAAGCTACATTCAAACACACCCCCAACTGAGTAACACTGAGTTTGCTCAAAATGAGTAAACAAAACAGAGACATGACTTCATTTTTTAGTCTAAATACAGTAATGTTGGGGGATATTTCTTTGAGATTTGCCATCAACCCTGTGTCTTAGCTCCAAGTGTGGTCTCATAAGGCAGTCTGCAGAGGGGGGTGGGGGGTGGGGGGCTAAAAAGTCACTTGTGAGGATCACAAGTCTCTGTTCTGGCCAGGTTCTGTGCCAGGGCCAGCCCCCACAGCTGAGTCACAGGCACAGACTAGCTTTCTGCTCTCTGGCAGACCCCAGCCATAGCATCCTTATTGTTGTAACTCCCAGATTGTGATACTGTCACAAAACTGTTGCTAGGCAACAAATGTGGTTACCAGGTCTCAACGAATAGCTGAAGGGGAAAGCAGAGTGTTGCACCATTGTAGAGTAACCATAGCAATGACCTACTATTACAGACTAAAGAATTATCATTAACAATGTTAAAGTATCAGACAGAGGCCCTGAATCGGAGACTCTCAGGCAGCATCTCTGCATAATTGGACGGTCTAGTAAGATATTTTTCACTGCTATGCCTTATCATTTTTATGGAAGAGTTTTCATTATCATTATTTTTGTTTTGTTTTTTAAATGCTTAGCATTACTAAACTACTGGTACAATGATATAAACTATCACAGAGAATGAAAAACAATTTAATTTTCTTACCTATTCCTTTGATTACATCAATGTTATTTGCTTATGGTTAACTGAAGGTAAATTTTATTTGAAAGGCATTGTAAAAATCGTGTTAAATTGAAGCCACTGAAAGGAACTTCAGAAAAATAAAGTCACCCCCATAAAATGGCAATTAAGCCTGTGTTTTTATGTTGAACCCTTCCTTACTGACAAATTAAACGGTCTAGAGGGTGGAATCCACCAGCCACTTCACGGCAGAAAGACTTGTGGCAGTTGCCCGATTCCCAAAACAAAAAGCCCAGAGCCATTGTCTGGACTCATTTCTGACTCTTGGAAACCCTTTATGCGAGGACAGAACTGCCCCACCGGCTTTCCTAAGGGCGTCACCTCC